ACGTTCACAGGTTGGTTAACAGGGCTTATTAGTCAAAATGCTTAGCTGGCAAATTTACCTGTTATCGGTTATACGATCAGATGGAACCATTGCTTATTGTCATCTAAAAATATTTTGTTTGGGTGCTTTGAAGGGGCAGAAAATCGTGCTTTTGTTACATTTTCCGACCACTCGTTAGGCATGTAAGCGTGCCGCCACTTTGATTGACAGCTCTGGAGAGGGTCCTAGCCTAGTGATGCCCCGTAGGGTGTCAAGGATATGTAGAAGGAAGCGCTAACAAAGGCGATTACGTTTAACCGCAATTAAGAGGTGTGAAGTTGCATTTGATCGTTTCAATGGCTCTTCCTCGGCAATCGAGTAATTTTACCTGAGAGATTCCTTCTTTGTTATCGGCAAAGTGATCAGATAAAACTGTGTCGAGAGCAAGTGTCCGTCACTTGTGTTAACACGAGTTTTTTTGACGGGTAACGCTGCAGGATTATTTTGCACGACACTTGGTAATCGTCAGATCAACGGAAAAATCCAGCGATTATCTCATAGCAGTATTTCTCAAAATGCCAGCTAAGATAAAGGGGAGACGCTCAGCTGCACAAGAATCAGCGATAAAAGTGGCTGAGAGAAGGCTTTTGAGTGAAATGGCTGAGTGTGGGTGAGTTTTGAAACCACGAACGTGTTGATTGTAAAAAAGTATCTATTCAAATCTTTTGAAGCATGTAAAAGTTGCGTCGGCATTTTACCGTGGATTGCGTCTAATACTAGATCACACAGGGCACTGAATGAAGTTATCTTATGAATAAGTCTGATGTGTTGAGGTACCACGTGCGTCGTATTTATCATACCTTCCTTTTATTTTTAGGTTTGATGGGAAAGAGTTCGCAAAAGGATTAGATCATACAGTCACAGCCGCAAAAATGAAAGGAAAAACACATATTAAAATTCGTTTCATGCACTACAGCTCTTGGGCAAGGGCATTGAAGGTAAAAAAAACACGTTATTTTTAATATAGCAATCTTCAGTATGAGTTCCTTTGCAAAACATTAGGACAAAAATGTTGTTTTTCACTTTTTATTACAAACGTGTAAAATGTGTTGGTTAAAGTATTTTCTAATAGTGTAGGGCTATTTCTTTACAGAGTCTGACTTTTAAAAGGTCAAATAAGATTTTTATTAGAAGTTGACTTTATCCAGTTTCTATCACTTGGTTATAACATTCATTTTTTGTAATTTTTTTTTATACAGAAGCAAGACATTGGGCCGGACGGATGCCATTACAGCTTCCCAGCAGATGTGCTTTCTTTTATCAGGGCAATCATACCCAACCAGGTGAAAGCTGAGATTAGACAGGTAAGATAAGGTAAAATTTCTTATTGCAAGTGTACAAACCTTTATCCAATTACAAACAGGGTTTAAAGTAAAATATGTTGGCATTGTATTTTTCTATCTAAGAGGCTTTCCTGGGATAGTTCTTTATTTACTCCAAGTATACAGATTAAGTATACTGATGCAAAAAATATTTGGGAGCTACATATACAAACTATATAACTTTTATCAAAAAACCTTTTTTCTCTTTCTGTATGCCTACTAGGATGATTATGTAATTTTTACAACAGCTATGGTCTTTTTTCGCTTCTTTTAGACTGGGTATGCGGTTTCCATGGAGGAATTCTGCCAAGCTGTCCTATGAACATCATGTTGCTGAGCACCTATTCTTACAGTCGGTTACGGGATTATCTAACCCAGAATGAGGCTCGATTTTAGGACTAGGGTAAAACATTGGCTTGCGCCCATTACTCTCAATGTTAAATTGGCGAACTTTGATCGTTCATATCAAACAGACCAAAGGACAATTTCTTGTGACGACCACTTGGTCATATTCACTTGGGTTTTTAGCGTCAGTCCATGGGCCTCAGGAGGATTTCTAAACCTTTAGGTAATTTAATCAGCGATAATACCAACACTCCTCCGCCGGGCTGCAATTTCAGTTTGCATCAGATACATGTTGTAATAGGCATATTTTATCGGCTGTATCGAGTATAGCTGTGAACAAATGCGTGTGACAACTGTTTGTTGATATTCACTTATGCATTTAGTTTAGGGAAATGGCCACCAAAGGGATTTTCTAGTGGCGACTTTATCAACGATGGTGGTGTACTATTTTCAGAGCAATTTTTCCTACTGCCTACTATGATTAATACATACTAGTTAATTAAAATACTGTCAGAATTATTGTATAATAAAATCATAATCTAAACAAAGAAAAACATTATATTCATATTGCTTTTAGAGGTCTCAATTTGAAAGATTTGATAAGCTATAAAAGGGGGTTGGGTAGCAGTGCTCACCTGTCGTGGTCAAAGCAGGTGTCTCAAGTAATGCAATAAATGTGCTTTCAAAAATAATTTTAATTTGTCACTGCTGTGTTTTCCATTAAAATTTCTTTTCCTACTATTGGCTGGATTAACGTACAAAGATACAATATAAAACTTGTTGACTTTCAAACTGTCAAACCAGTGATGACACTGTTAATTAATCGTTGTAGTAGTGCTTTGTCCAACCTTGCGTAATTGAGAAATGTGATAAGATCAGTTCTGCCATAGGGAACATTTAGCAGTTTGTTTTGGCTAGACTCTGATAACAGGAAGCAACAATGAAACTTGACTGTCAACCAGATCAAGATTTGAATGCCAAGTTCAAGCTGCAACTAAAGTAGGCCACTATTTAGGCTACATAAAACAAGTTCCCTGGGGGTGTTAAATTTTTCTGGACTAGATAAGACCAGAAGTGTAAAAAAAAAAGGAAGAAAGAACGATGTCATCCTTCTTATGAGTAGACATTATCATAACAATCAAAAGACTGATTTACTGTGTCGTTGGACTCCCCAATAAACAAGCTGTATAGGCCTAATGAAGTTCAAATGTTTTTTTAAAGGTCTACTATATATTTCCTTTCTGTCTTTTTCCGACAAAACACTTTGACAATTTCTGAATTACCAGCTTTAAGCTCTCAAAATAAATTTATTTATATTATAAATTAGGTGATTCAAAAGACAGACGCATGGGGGACAGTAATAGTTCTAAACTGATTATCCTGGTAAGTGTGAACTCGGGGATGGGGGGAGAGCAAATTAAAAATTTTTAGGAAGTCTTTTTGTGATTTTTATTTTTGGGTACATTTTGAACTCTTTCTTTCCGCTTGATCAGTGATTGTGAACTTGTTTTTCTCCAAACATCGCAAAATGCAACACTGCTTACATATGCGTTTTTATTTTTAGGCCTACTGTTTTTTTTATCATGCTGTCAACCCTTGCTTGGATTTCTCTCGTTTGGCCATTCACAACACAATTTTTCGAGTGTTTCTCAAGCTCCATGATTTATCTCGGAGAATAAAATTTTATTTTCTCAACATTAGTTTTTACCTTCTGCAAACGGCGTCCAACAATCATTTCCGGTTTCGTAACGTGTCGCAGATACGTTCGCCGATATATATCGCCAAAATTAAGAATAAGAGTATCGTTTCAAGCGTGTTTTTAACCGATTTTTCTTACAAATGCATTTCTCAAGTAATTAATACGATTCGATAAACTCTTTCACCTATTTATTAGGTATACAAAAAGGGAAAAGAAAGACGAATAATATTTAAGACTTTATGATGCTTTTATTTGAGCTGTACATGCACCAATGTCTGTAACTGTAGTGAAGTATAGACATCAAAACTACACGTGAGTCTTTTTACATCTGACTACAAACAGGTTAATCGCATAAAATGCAGAATAAAATTACTAAAAAAAAAAAACAACTATGCTGATCTGAGCAATTGATTTTCCAAAAACCAACAACATGATAACTAGGTAATAAAAAGCACTTTTTCACCTAGGCCATTCCACTAACTTGTAGAATATCAAAAATGTTTTACATAAAATATAACTGGGATGCATCAACTTTGTCATATTTGTCTTCTAGCCCATGGGCAAAAAATCATTATTATCAACAGTTTTAAGGCCTATTTCAAAGCAAACAAAAGCTCAGAGAACAAGATAAAAATTATGAAATGCAAGTCCTAATAGCAATAACATTTTAAACTATGAAATAGGTAACTTTTCAAGACCCAAACTAAATTCAAGACACAGCTTATTTCAGTCACTTTTTACACCTCCATGAAAACAGGAGTTATCATCAAGCTTTGACTGTTTGTGTAGATGCAATGAGAGAGCAGTGTCTCAATAATCATTTTTGGCATGATCCTTTTTTGTGTCCTTTTCGCGGCTTGTTACAGGTTTTACATTTAGGTGCATTGCGTGACCCTTGGTGAAATTCACCAGAATTGTAAGTTTCACCCTCAACTTTCCTAAAAGCATCTACTTGTTGCAATTTTTGTCTCTTTCGTGATCGTCTTTTCTCCTTCTGAGCACTAGATGTATCCTTGGCACACCTATTGATACGAACACAATCAAGCTTCTTGAAACACTTTCGACTGGATTCAGACATTTCAATACCGACAGACTGAAAAAGCTCTGTATTAGACTTACACAAGCCATCATTGAAATACAATACTGCTAAATAAAGTCCCAATGTTACAGCATTACTGCTTTGAAACTGGTCCTTGGGCACCATGTTCCAGACAGTAGAATGAAAACTCTCATTTTGGTTTTGTGTTAAACCCCGAAGGCATCCTTGCAACAGCACTGGATCAGACAGATCATCCATGATTGGCTGGATAGCCTCAATGACAGCGGGGGGCAGTGGCTTTTCCACCATGCGATAGGTATCCGTGCCACAAGCCTTGTCCACTTGCCATTTGCACCAGCTACTTTCTCCTAAAATAAAAAAAAAGTAAAATAAAATATGAATGGACAACTGATATGAAGGCTGATAAAACTATTTCCTTCAAGTAGCAAAATTTGATTTGTAGTGAATTCTTTCTAAAGACTCAGTTACACCAGACATTCTGTAACTGTTGTAAGTAAGTTTACCCATATATTAAATCCAGATATCTCTATATAAACATATTACTTACCAATAGCATTTTTACACATCTTTAAACCAATAATATTTATATAAAAATACATGTAAAACTATTTCTATATTCCCTTAATCTATGTACAAAAGGGCTGAGTTTTTTTTTACCTTGAGGACACAAACTGTGATCAGCTTCCTCACTATAATGCATGGGAATGGCTCTTGTCTCCCTGACCATGCCCTCCAGGTTCTGCAGGTTCCTTCTGATTGCCAGGCCATAAAAAGTCTGCATTGAATCAATGCGGGCCATTGTGAGGCGGCCTGTGCCCTGGAGCCCTTTCCCATCACTTAGTTTCATACCTACACATAAAAAAAAAAACAATTTACCAATAATATAAAATGAATTCTAATTATTTGTGATATATTTTTTACTTTTACTTGTTAAAGCAGTAAAGATATTAACTACAATTCACTGATATTAATTTATGCTCCTAATGACATCAGAAGCTATGGAATTTAGACGAGCAGTTATAGGTACTAATTAGAATAATCCAGAAATGTTATAAAGAAAGAGAGAGAGATTATCTCAGTTGTAAATATGTACTTATAAAATTATTTTCTTCTACTAGAATTAATATTATATTCGAAATATACAATAGGCCTACCTTTGGTACTTGTGACTAATCGTCTTAGTCTGGATCCCATTCTCTTCTGTACGTGACCAACACACTCCTCCTTCACCAGGGCGACTTCTGGTCCGTATGGCTGCTCTCTCTGGACTCGCCGGAACGCCGAACTGTCCCCATCGCCAACAAAGGGATTGTATCGAAGGTTATACAGCTCCAATGATCTGTTATACAGAACTGATACACCCTCCGCCTCCATGGCTTGTGCCGACCCGTCGTGATTCTGAGGGCACTGAGCAAAATGTGTCAAATGAAATTCTATCTCTTCCGCGGCGGTGTGCGGCTTGCTATTAAAACTGTCACAAGTTCTGCATGTTGTGCACATGTAGTGTACGTCGAGCACCTCACCTGTGTCAACCGAGATCGCCGCCACGAAACCATGTTTCGAATTACTTCTGGTTTGCCAGGATCCGTCAATAGTGATTCCACAGTCTACAACTTCATTAATGTCCACATCACTTCCGTGGAGCAGTTTTTTTACCCGAATGGCAGCTGCCATCATGCTCTCACTTGCAAGTTCGCGAGATTTGTCCCCCAGAGCTTGAGTGTGTTCCAGCCAGCTATGGCTACATATTGGGGGCGGCATAGACAAGTAGCCACTTAGTTTTGCTGCAGAAGTGTGGCCTTCTCCGATTGCACGCATTCCGAGAACACTCGCCCTGTTTACTTCAAAAAAACGTCCCGTCTTCCTCGAAGTTGAGGTCCAGCCCTCTTCCGGAATACCGCCGCAAACGGTGCAAATCCACCTCATTTGACATGCCCAACCTTGCCGTTTCTGTTTACTTTCGACCAACACAACGACGCCGCCACACACACGACAAACACACGACTTGTTGACACTTTCTAACAACTGTCCACTGTGCCAAAGCCTGTACCCAGTAGCTACGGTTTCTTCCTCGCGATCACTGTCTGAAGACTCCGAGGGCTGTTCTAAGTCCTTCAGTATCTTACGAGCGCTCGCTCCAGGTAGATTCTCTCTCTCGTCATCCGACTCAACAAATACCGGTTTTCCCCAACCGCCGCGCATACTCTCTTTCAAAATTTTCTTTCTTTCCTCTGGAAATGGCTTTTTAACACGAACTTTTCTCTTCCCCATAGCGTACTCGACTTCTTCACTGCTTAGCTGATGTAAGACTTATGACCTATTACCGCACACGTAATCGGCTTATAACTCATTACCTATGCTCCGCCCCCCTCATGGCAACGGCCCTTAGCAACAGAGGCGTGGCTTAGTTGTCAGCCTGACTGGGGCGCGTGCCGGTTGAAAAACTCATCAAAAGACACATTTTGCGGTGCAAATTCAAAATAATTATTACAGCCAACGTTAGATACTTTTTTGATTAATAGAAACACAAAAAAAACTCAAAAACATGATTTTAAGCGTAGTTAACCCTATCTGTCCCCTTAATCCTTTTTTGAATCTGTACAAGTACCTCTGTTTTGACAAAGGACCCAGTAAAAAAAATTCACAACCTCTTTCTTCCGTTTTGAATTCTTTTAAGTACACTTAGTATATTTATTACATGCCCAGATTGAGTATACTAGTTTACCACAGAAAAAAATCATGAAGTATATTAGTGATTGCATTTATGGAGGAGAAAAGCACAAAATGAGATAAAGCAATGGTCTTTGTCTGATGAGTAGATTTGACCATTCTTGGAATGACCAATATGTTAATAAATTTAAGTTGGGATTTTTCCTGTGAGTGGTAAGTTACTGTAGATCATATACCCAAGTACTTATTGATTATTCCAACATGAAATGTACACCCATGCTTGTTTCTCATATAACATACAGTAACTACATGTATACCATCTTCATGCTTCTTTTATACGCACCTTACGGAAGAATACACCTGTAAAAAGGAAATCATCATTTAAGATGGATGTTATAGACAGAGATTTTCTCTTTGGAAAGCATGTTTCTATCAATTAATTGTATATACAGGATGGTCCATAAAGAACAATCTATTTTAAATTGAGATGGAAAGTAAAATATGGACCAACCTGTACATGAAAAATAATTTTATTGCCATACAGAACTTCTGCTCATAATTCAAATTACTACAACCCACGGTACAGAAACATCTGCATTTTCCTTTTAAACTCTATCCACTCGCGTTTCATAAAAATTCCACTTTAATTGTTAATCTACCTTGGACTCTGCCAAACACTTCAAAATCTACTGAAATCAGCCTGCTCATACTGTCACAGGTATCAGTATCAGAATTGCAAGTTTCCTCAGAGTTCTCAGCAACGCTCGACACAAAAGGCTCTCTTAAACTCTTAGACTGAAAATTAGCTGATGTTGTCTCCTCACAAGATATACTGACAAGTTCGTATATCAGTATGAAACATAAAATAAATCTTGCGGTTCTACATAACACTGAGTAACAACCCTCCACACTCACATACATCAAAGGGCTGTTGTCGTATTCGGCGATCGACAAATTGTAATAAAACCATTGGATGACCGAAAATCTTTTAATCCAATCAGCTGTTTATAAAAACGATGCAGGGACTTTCTGTCGGTCGTACTTTATCTTGCTTTGAATCTGCTACCCTAACGTGTCTGGCTATAAAGTTTTTTCGTCGAAATTCCAGTTACATAACGTAATTTGCAAGTATGCAAATATGATCTTGATTTTATCTGATGTTGAAGAATAGCAGTGCTCCTCAGTGCCCCCTATCGGTCTTTCAGTGAAATTACAAATCATGGCCACCACGGGATGAGCAGAGTCATGCATTTCGTCAGTCAAATCTAGAGTTTGCACTTATTGCTTAAAGATGGACGAATGGGAAGAGAGACTGGGGTTTAAACCCCAACGAGAGGATGTCTACAATAAGTTACTGCCGTACGCTGAAGGACTTGACCAAGAATCAGTTGAACAACTCGCGGAAATCAAAACCCATCTGAGCCGCAGCATCCAGCTGTGTGATGTGAAAGTTGGTGTAGTACACTGGGTTAGCCAACTGACCAAGTGAGTTGAAAATCCGAATGTTATTATTATTATAGTTTATTTGGCTATATACGGTTTATTTCTGTTAATTCATAGGTTAATTGCCTCTGATTCATTTGGTCAGTGAGAAGTTATTAGTTATGTAACTGTAACTTATAATTACATTTAGTTGTCATTAGTGCAGAAATTTTGGTACTTTTGTAGTATACCCCCCCACCCTGTAACTTTCTGTAACTTTCACTTTTCAAACAGTTTTTTACATTTTTTTGTTCATCTATGTCAAAGCTGTTGAAATAAAATGCTTTTGTAATTACCTGTGGACTTTTTATTAGTTTTAATCACGTTTAATCCAGCCCATTGAAATACAATGTTAGAATCTTCAATTTACACCCGCAGTCAATAACTTGCCGCGTTTTCGTTGGCTAACTCTAGGGTAATTTTATGTGAACAAGTAGCTCATAATAATTTCACAGAGGAAGTCCAAGTATACAATGTATCAATC